TCTTTTATTCAAAATATTAGATATTTTGATCAAAAGTTTGTGCAAAAAAACGTTTATTGTTAATAAAAGCTTAAATATATAAAATAATTTAAAATAAAAAGATATTTTTATAATCTTCGAATATCAAATATTTCATTAAAGCTAGCAGATTAATTTTAATTATTTTAATTGATTAGTTATTAAAGCTTTTTGAATATTTATTATTTTGTATACAAATCATATACAAAATCAAAATCACGAATTTTAAATCTTAATAACTTTTTATATAAAATCACTAAAAATCTGAAAAGTTGTAAACAAGCTAATAACTATATAAAGAATCTATATTCAAAATTTTATTCAATTAAATTTTTTATTAAGAAAGTTATAAAAATCGAAAATCACTGTTTTTGGTGTGAAAAGGTGGTCCGAAAGTAGGGTAGTTGACTTATTGGTAATTTTTCAATCTTCTATTCTAGTATACAATAGAATTATACTAACAAAATCTAGTATTTGGCATATCTACTCCATCCAAAGACATCAGTATGTCAGATACTACTGGTAATTTTTCAGTCTTCCATTCTAATATACAATAGAATTATACTAACAAAATCTAGTATTTGATACATCTGCTCTACCCAAAGACATCAGTATGTCGGATACTGGTAATTTTTCAATCTTTCAATATACGATATAATTATGCTAACAAAATCTAGCATTTGGTGGTGGTGATGGTACACCGACTCCATTCACCTTCAATTTCCAAGCTCCCACCGGAGGATCCAGCCCATCTATATTGCCTGATAATGCCCTCGAGCTCAAGGAGAAGCCGGAACTGCTACAGACGCAGTACGATTCGGTCGTCAAGGAAAAAGATGCCGCCAGAGCCCAAATCCACTTGGAGCAGGCGGAAGTCGAATGTCTCAAACCCATCGCTGAGAAATCCAAAAGCCGTGGGAACCTACATAATGAGATCAGGAGGCTTAAGCAAGGTCTCAAAGTAGCCAATGAACAGACGAAGAAGGATGCTATAGGTCTCAAGGAGGCCAAAGATGAGTTGGAAAGATTGGCTTCATACCAGACAGAAAACGACAATCTGAAACGTCAGCTAGCGGAGCAGCTCAAAGCCACAACGAAAATTAATTCCACTGCAACATTCGAGCGCAACAATGCACGAAAGGAATTGGTAAACCTTCGCATTCAAAAACTGCAATTAGATGTCAATATCAAAAAGCAGATTAAGGAACGTAATTCGATCATGGCAGAGCGCAATAAAGCTAGAGCTGAGGCCAGTGTAGCTTTGAGTCGAGTTGAAAGTCTAACAACCAAAGTCGCAACTAGGCTGCGCAGAAATACTCCGCTACCCGTGGGGACCCGTTGAGCTTTCAAAATTATCCGCCCCGCAAATACTCTGCAAATTTATTAATTTTTATAATATTAATATAAAGATTAATATAAAAACTAATATATTTTTATAATTATACTAATATTATATTAATATTATAAATATTATAAAATTTATATTTGCGGAGTATTTGCGGAGTATTTGCAGCGGATACCCAACGGGTCCCCATTCAGATTTTTCTATTATCCGCCCCGCAAACGGAGGACCCGCGGGGGACCCGCCAGGCCAATAATCCGCCCCGCGGGTACCCGTTGCGCAGCCTAGTCGCAACCCTTCGCGATCAAGCTGGACTTCAGGAGGAAGCTAAATCTGAGGTCACCAAAGCTCAGAATCAAGCTGTCGTAGCTCTGGAGACTCAAATCGAAACCATTCGCGACCAAGCTCAAACCAAATTAGCGACTCTTCGGGAGGAAGCTAAATCTGAGGCCACCAAAGCTCAGAATCAAGCTACAGGCCTTCGCAATCAGGCCATATTCCTTAATCGCAACATCGCGAGTTATAAGGCGCAGATTGCCGCAGTTTGTTCTCAATGTAAGGAGATGGAACAAAGCCGTGTTGATGAACTTAATCTCCAAAACGATATTCTCAGTCAGCAGATTAAGCAACTTGTGCAAGACAAACTCAATCTCGAGACGGCTTCACGCGACAGAGATGTAGCTGCTCAAGCCGCCAATGAGGCGCTTAGTACTACCATCCATGAATCTTCCAAGCAACTAGAGAAGCTTGAAGAGAGAGCCAAAGCTCTCGAAGCTGAGAAATTCGATCTTTTAAATAGCCATCAAACCACAGTCTCCGTCCTTGAAGTGACTCTTGAAGCAAAGCTTGTAAGCATTTCCGACTCTCGCCATTCTGCAGATGGCGCAATTGGTCTCCTCAACGCGGAGATCTCTTCTCTCCGGAATGATCTGGAAAGCACCCGGGGCGCCTCCCGGGATGCTGCAAACTTGTCGAGTTCTATCGATACTCTTCGCGGCGAAATTGCCCTCGCCCAAGAGTCCCTTGACAATGCCATCCAGAAAGGTAAGGAGGCAGAGAATAATCTGGCCAAGAAGGAAACGGAGCTTACTCGAGAGCAGGCTGCTCATGCAGCAACCAGAAATTTGCATACTCGTACGGTTAAGGTTAAGAGTCTTTCGCTAGACAAATCTACTAATAGCAGTGTTGCAAAAGTTCATGAGCAGGAACAAACTAATCCTGTCGTTCATCCGGGGAGATTGTTTGAACTGGAGGAAGATGATGTGCCTCCATCATCGTCTCCAATCGAATCTCTGGAAACCGCGCCTGGTCTGTTCTTTTCTACGATTAATTCCGTGGAAGTCACTCCTGTCTGCGAGGAGCCTGCCAGCTCCGAGACTGTTGTCGACCTGCCAGCGATGGTTGCAGAGCAACCAAAGATTACCGAAGCACCTATCCCTGTGACCAAGGTCAGAGTGGCAGTGGCCGCTCATAGACCTGCTCGTAGAAATGCTTCAAGCATTCTTCGCCTGTGGATTGTCCTCCCCGTTTTGTTTGTGGTGGCGCTGATTAATATCTCCATAAATGTAACTCCTGTTACATCCGGTCCAATCGGTCTAATTGAAGCAGTGCCTGCTGCTTCGATGACCCCTCCTGTTTCGATGACCCCTCCTCCTGTTTCGATGACCTCTCCTCCTGGTCCGATGCCGTCCCCTCCAGCTTCGATGACTCTCTCTCTTGTGATGGAGACGTTTGTCCCGGCTTCAACGGCTTCTAGTATGGATACTGCGCCCACAGCCTCTTTAGAAGAGCCTACTTCTAAAGAGGTTGCCGCTCCCCCCGTGTGGGGAGGAGGATCCCTTGCCCGGGTCCTCTATCCTACTAGAATGCTGCGTGTTGGGGAGCAGATATTAGAGACGACACACTGTTATTGGAATTTCCTGGAGGTCGCTGTCCTCCGCCGTGTTGCGATTTTTTTCGCTCGCGGTTGTTCGACTTCGTCGTCCTCGACAAGCTCCCACTGTTACACCATGCTTGCTTTAAGTCATTGGTTCAGTCCAGGAGGATCCATTTACTAGTTTGTTTGCCATCTCTTCGGTCTTCGTTACTTCTCTTCTTTGACAACCTTCACTGCTCTCGTGGATCCTAGCAAGATCACAGCAGTCACTGGTTTGCGCTCTTCACTTCGTCTATCCATCCTAGCAGGGCAACCTGTTATGGATCTGACAGTCCTATAATGATTTCTCTGTCGATCACCACTAATTCTTACTTTGAGACACTTGACCGAAAACCTTTCTACTTTGATAAGGGACTCTTTTACTCTATTAACATGAGCATCAAAAGAGTTTGAAGTCAAATAGCTTAGTTTGAATTGGTGGGGTTTACTTTGATTTCATAGGAATCTGCTTTGGGCAATTCCATTAGGACTTTGTTTATATTGACAAAGCTAAAACATTAATTCTTACTTTGAGACATCTGACTGAAAACCTTTCTACTTTGATAAGGGACTCTTTACTATATTGGTACGAGCATCAAAAGAGTTTGAAGTCAAGTAGCTTAGTTTGAATTGATAGGATTTACTTTGATGATTTCATGGGAATCTGCTTTGGGCAATTCCATTAGGACTCCGTTTCCATTGACGAAGCTGAAACATTTCATCTTCAGGAAGAATACAGCTTAGCTCTCCTGTTCCCGAGTACTTGCTGATCTTTCAAGCTCTCGACATATCCGGCAGATTGAAGAAGCGCTTGATTTCGTTTCGCTTCTTCCACCTGCACAAGAGCCTCGGACTACCAACCCATTAACTTTCGCGTTCGGAAAGGCTTCTCCAAAAACCGACAAATCTCCTTCAAGATGGAAGACAATAACTGAGAATCGATCTTACCAACATTTGTTGCGGGTCAAGTATTCTCTTCCTTGGTAAGGGAACTGACATCATTCATTGCGTGAGACACCACGTCCGGTGTCATACAGGGTTCGTCCTCGTCACGCAGGAAAATTAGTTATACTATCTAAGATGCAAGTTGCCCTTTGCTTGGCAACTCGGCTACGCACGTCAAACGTAGTTGGATCCCGCTGGTCTGGATCGTCTTAGAAGATAAGTCATCTCTTGAAGTCGTGAGATTGTTGATTGGAATGGGTGGAAGGGATTGGTATGGTGAAAGGAGTAACCCACTCCAACTTCATCATCTGCTGCATACAACATTACTTTCAAATACCTTGCAAGGAGGTTGCACAAATTATTTTCTAGAAGGTGGACGCGCCTTCGATGACGAGAAGTTTTGTGTAGATTCTTTGAAAGGTGTTTGTCTTGATGGTGTTTCCGCTCGGAGTGACCGGACATATCCGATAGAGACAATTCTGTCAACTCATCCTCTTTACAACACGTCACAAATACGCTGCGAAGCATACTACGTTTCCTTAAGAACTACGATACGGAAATGTGCTTGGGGATGATTATCATGCCCTTTGGAAAGGAAGCTCTCTTCGGTACCGAGCTTTCCAATCAGCTTCATACAATACTCACAACGATCTGGATGATCGGTGCAAGGGGACGCTTATCCCCTGGTAAGGCAACGCGCTTCGTTGATTTGGTATAACAATATGCTCATACTCTTAGGCAAAGCAAAGCGTGTATTCTTTTGACTCTCTTTTTTACAACTACACACTATACACCAGTGGTCATTCTACCTACTATGATGAAAATAGTGCAATAATACGCTTATACCCTTTGGCAAGGAAATGCGTACATTCTCTTTTTCGCAACCATACACCATACACCCCGCTCATTACGATGAAAACGGTGCAACGCTCATACCCTTAGGCAAGGAAATGCGTGCACCCTCTTCGCAAGCAAACACTATACACCACACATCACTTTCCACGATATGGATGAATGATGCCAGGAAATGCATATCCCCTTGGCAAGGGATTGCTTTCCGACATATTGTTCTTCTATCTCAACAACACAACACAATGGTCGAAGAAACGTGAAACAAAGATGCTCCCTTTGGCAAGGAGGTATTCTCATACACTCACTTTTCTTGATACCAATATTTTGAAGGCGGAAGCAAAGTCGCAAAGAGATACTACTCCCTTCGGCAAGGAGTTCCTCTTACGCACTGCGATATCCTGCTGGAAATACAACTTTATGAAGGAAGAAACGTGAAACGTAGATGCTCCCCTGGCAAGGTCGCACTCTCATACACTTACTTCTCTCGATGCTTCCTTGGCAAGGTCGCACTCTCATACACTTACTTCTCTCGATGCTCCCCTGGCAAGGTTGCATCTCATACACTGGATTCTTTGGCTACAAACATTAATCATCGCGGAAGCAAAGTTGCAAGAAGACAATACTCCCTTTGGCAAGGAGTTACTCTTACACACTACGCTCTCCTGCAAGAAATACGACTTTACGAAGAAACGCAGGAGTTTAGACTTCGCAGAAATGATTCCATTTAGGCTGGAGTTCTTTCAAAGGGTTCATGCTACTGGCTTGTGGCATGGCAATGGAGTTACGAAGTTGAATATACCACCTGGCAACAGGATCAAGCTTCGCACGTTGGTTGTTCTTTACGGATGGATATGGAGTTTTACGAACAAAATGGTGTAAATCCTGGCGAAGAGCAATGGCTCTGCAGGTCCTGGAGGAGTTTTTCTGTTATCAAAGAAGTCAGATGGTTTTCCTGGGTTGGGTTGGGTTCATACTAAAGTTTGCGCATCTGATTTGCGATTTGTTTTCTTCGGTTTCTTTGGTATGGTGTTGGAGTATCTAGTTTCTTCGGCAGTCTTGTGACGCTGTAGATTATGAGAGTCTTTTCAAATGGTCTTTATGTGCATGCTTGTGATATATGTTCATGCTTCCATGATGTGATCTTGTATAATACTCTATCTGCTCACTAATGTCAGTTGCCTTGAATCTCGTTTGCTTGTTGGCTCTTTATGACGTACTGGTACTACCGTGCTTGAGCACAATTCCTGTATGGCCGGGCTCGGAATAAGCACCAATTGCCAAGCCCACTTCCATATAGAAGCAAAACTCAAGACAGTTCTTGAGAAGGGATTATGATCTGCGGTAGTTAGTTAGCTACCGGTAATACAGCGTCTTGTTTGTTGTGTAGCCACTGAAATACACCCTACAGACACTTTATACAAGCAAATGCATTATTAGCGACGACAAGGGTGACACGATGAGATCATAGTATTTGGGTTATGTACAGTAAAAATTAAAATGGGAAAGGAAGGGGAAGGGAAGGATAGTTGTGGAAGGGGGCCTAGGAGGATTTCCGGAGGAGAGGGAGGGGGTGATCTTTTGAATAGAGTGGGTCTGTTTTAGCTTCATATTTAAAATCTCGATATTAATACTATACGCTCTTTCAGAGGTTTTATATGTGCAATACCACCCAAACACAATATTCCGAAGAAAAATTTCTGGTCGCCAGAAGTTGAAATTCGGTCTGAATTCAAACTCTACGGAGTCACAACAATATATACAATACATACCGCTCTATACGAGCCAACATAGCGTCCCATACGGCGCCGCCCGAGGTCATCGACCTGGAAAACACGAATTTCACCAATCCACGGGCCCCAGAGACACTCTCCAACCTAAAAAATCGCTTTAAGAGAAGGCAGCGTACTTTTACCAATGAGATACCACTAGTCTTCAAACTAGGAAATAAAGCAAATACCAAAACCATTAATCTAGCAATAAAAGCCTTTAAGGCTAAACTTGCTAAATACGAATATGCTGAAAGAATTCAGCAAAAGGTTATGATTGGCCTGGTAGAGGCAATTGATAGATACATCGATTTTTTTGCTGCAGGGGATGAGCGAACAGCTGCCAGGAAACTGAGCACCAGAGTTGTAGAAATCCTTATATACACTATTAATAATGGGTCTGACCTATCGTCGAGTCTATTGTATATATCACTAGCAACAAGAAGCGCGGCTTTTTTGAAGATACAAACCATTACCAAAACCTATGCGGGGATCCTCAAGACCTTCAAAACAAGTCAAAACAGGGCGGGCCGAGCAGACCCACCTACACCTCAAAAAGCCACATCAAAGGCCCCACCTAGCAATGCATACGCCAAACAACGGGCGATACAAACCGCCTGGAGCACGGATCATAGGCTACTAATAGTTATTAGCCTTGTAGTCCAGATCAGCCAACCAGCCCTATATACACTAAGAAGTGCCCTTATTGGGGCAATCACAGGCCTGACATTGGCAGATGTCCCCACTATATCTGCTATCAAGATAGGATAGATTATTATACCAAAGAACCTAATAATCCACAAATTACTTCTCATATAAGAGAATAAGGAAATCATCCTTTGAATCAGCTGAGGCATGTAAATATACCAATCGGTAATATAATACAATTATACAGTCCCCGGAGTCCCAGTATCAATATGTACACTGGATGGACTCCCAGCCGATATTACGAATCATATGGAAACAAAGGTTCAGGTACAGACAGGCCAAACCCCAGTCAGCTGTAAACCCTTATGTCACAGGGCCAACCCCCACAATAATACAATCACATAGATAGTATCCTTCCTCGAACCAGTTCGCAGATTCAGACTCTTCAATGTCAGCGAACTGGTACAAGAGATTAAGGCAAAACCTACCATTACCCGATACAATATTGGCTGCCAAGGCTGGTATAATTCAACAAGATATACTAGGCTTATTCGCTGTATAAACTATGGTGTTCGAAAAGATGTATATGAAGGTCCATAAGGTCCCAACTGTATAGCAAAGGTACAATATACTAACTGCTTTGGATCTTTCGTGGCAGGATACCCGAATTGTCTAGTAACATTTAAGATAGTAGATAATAAAGCCATAGCATTTATCAAACTACAACTCAAAGTTATACAAAAACCGGCTCTGGCAATGGAAGTAGCAATGCTCACCAACCAGAAGTCAAAAGATAACCCCAAGGAAAAGCCTATCCCAAACACAGCCACACCTACACTCACATCCACTTCAGTGCTAAAACACCAGGGAGAACAGATTATCGTGTACGAAAAAAGCGGGGACAGCCTAACGGCAATACAATTCAAAAAAGGCACGGCGGCAGTAAGCTGAATAAGACAGAAACCCTCAATAAACACAAACCTCAACGAAAAGATTCTAGCCAATGATCAATAGGATACCGAAATGGAAGAGAACCCCTAATCCAATATATATGAGTAAATGCCCAATATGTCAAGATAATGTATATAGTTATTAATAGCCCAGAATACGGGATCTAACAGTCTGTTAGACGAATATAGACAGAATATCAGAGATTCACAATACCTTATTACAAATAGTATTTGAAAACAAATCAGATATTCTATACATACAGGAACCCTTTATGTTTCTATTTACAAAAACCAAAATATATCCCGAATAGACTTTATATATGTTAATAGATTTATGGACAGGAATATCCCCTGAACAAAGAGAAGTAGAACAACTCCGAATACTGACATATATCAGAAAAGGAGCGAAACTGCGAACCCAATAGAGGCAATTAATCAAAAGCTGTGATATACTCTGGATAAATGTAAACAGGTATCTTATACTGAATATATACTGATAACCATAAACAAAACAGATACTATTATATATCACTGAACTACAATCACCCCTAGGGTGCCTTATTGAAAACAACTTCAACGTTATACATGAAATATGGCAACCTGGATTGGAAAACCTCTATAGGGGGAATGAGCTAGCAGCCTGGGCAGATCTGGCTAAACTAGAATATATTGGAGAAAAAGGAGCATCTATCTATATAAGAGGCAATGTGCTTGATCTTTCATTTTCTAATATATCTTTTGCAAAAACCAGGGTCTGGTACAACTTATACAATGGCTTGGACTACTACACCCTGGTAACAACAATACCCGGCAGAGGAATCAAACCTCTAGATCAGCACAACATCTATATCCCGGAAACAGAACTACCGCAATTAACAGGACTGGTAGTAAACAGAGTAGCATATTTGCTTATAAACGATATCTTCGATATTACAGAAAGGATAGATGATTTCGTTAATCAACTTATTGAAACCATTAAACAAGTAATAACTGCAGCAGGAACTACGGATAAAGGAAAAGGCAAGGCAGCACCCTGGTAGACGGTGGAATACAAAAAGGCTTATACCGAATATCTGAGCAGACAAACCACACCAGGGAAATCCTCTACCACAGCAACAAAGGAATTCAAAACAATAATCAAAGCAGTCAAACAAGACTATTGGAAACATGTCATAGATGATATCTTTAATAACAAAGATTTATATAAGATAATCGGCTAGTATAAGCTTGCTCCAAACCTTAAGAGTTCCCTAATCATCTTAAACAGAATAATGATAGAAAATGCGATAGAAAAAGCCGAAGTATTCAGAACAGAGATCCTGGATCGCTTCAGTATAGAAGATAACCTGGAATACAACCCATTGGGAGACTAGTGGGAAGGAAGCGGGCATTTACCCTGGAACTCCTGGCTTACACTGGAAGAAATTAAAGCAAACATTATTGAAGTATCCAGTATATCCCCAGGAACTAACCAAGTCACAGTCAGAATCCTCAAGGCCTGCTGGGATTACCTCAAAAACCCATTAAGATAGCTTTACTAGAAATACCTTGAATACAGTTATTTCCCGAAAACCTGGAAGCTAACTGAAATGGCTATACTATCCAAAATCGGGAAAAAGGATATGATATCTGCAAAGTTATAGAAATCCATTGCTTTGCTCTTTTGTATAGGAAAAGGCCTGGAAAGAATAATCGCTAAATGATTAGGCTGGACAACCCTAAAGCATAGCATTATCAGCCTTTAGCATAGTGGAACCCTGCCCAAACGCTTTACAATAGATCTGGTAGCATCCTTTACACACAATGTGGAAATAGTATTAGCTATTAAAAAGAAAGTGATTATAATCACTATAGACATATAAGGCGTTTTCGATATATTGCTCAAAAAACAACTTTTTACTAGAATAACAAAACAAGACTAACTGAAGGATTTATTTCTATTAGTTGATTCTTTTTTAACAGAAAGGAAAGTCAGAGTATAGCTAGAGTAAGCTACAATCAGAAAATACCTAGTAGCCTATGGAATTCCTTAAGGTTCCTTTTTATTATTAGTTCTATATATACTATACCTGGCAGAGTTATTCTCAGAAGATATCTCCCTCAGATTCGGGTATACAGACGATATATGTTTATATAGAGTATCCAAAATCTTGGAGGAAAACATCAGATGCTTTACTACAGATATACAAGATATTATAAAATGGGGATCGAACAATTGCATTGTTTTTGCTCTAGAGAAGCTGGAAATGATCCATATCTTTATAGGTAATAACAATACAGCATTTGTTATCAGGGTAAGCGAAGAATTCACGATACATCCGATAGTGGTTACAAAAACAAACATTTATTCAGTATTGAGATAACTGGGAATGTGGTTTGATAGAAAGCTGAACTTTCGTAAGTATGTTATTGAATACGTAAGCAAAATCAGGGCAGTGGCAAAGTATATATAAGACCTGGCCAAAGTTATGCAAGGCCTTCTAGTATATATTATATACAAGGCAATAATTATATATATATTTCCTTTACTTCTATATAGGACTAAAGCCTAGTACAGAGGTAGATTCAAGGCAGTGCAAAGACTAAAATCAGAATAAACAAAGGTTAGCGCCTGCCTCAGCTGGTATGTGACATAAATCGAAAAGATTCTCACAATAGCAATACGAGGAGTCATACCAGTCTAGAAAACTACACCGATAACTGTTCTCTACTGTAAAGCAGGTCTCCCCTTAGCCATAGTAGTCCTCGAGGAAACCAAACTGAGGTTTGCCTTATATCTCCAAAGTGTAGATACAATTCACTTGTTCACGAAAAGAATCAAACCTTTTATAATTGTTAAAAAGCGAGATACAGGTATAAGACAAAGAGCAAAGACCAAAGTCTAATAATTGGGTCTCCTTATCCCTTCAATCCCAAGGCCTATATTCGAGGTATTACAATATATATCAGACTGCCGAATAGATCTAATGAAAGGGATTGATAAGAAAACGGCTACAAAAGCCTTCAACATCTGATGGGAAAATCTGTCAAATACAGATATTACCATCTTTTCGGATAAATCGGAAAATCATATAAAAGGAAAATATATCATAAACTATAAGTACATAACATACCTAAATAAAAACCAGATACTGACAGGCTTTAGTTCCATTAATACCCAATCACATATCTTCGACACAGAAGCTATTGAAGTATGGAAAGGTCTGGAATATACCTTCAAGAATGCCAGGTATTCTAATCAGAAAATTTGGATATATATCGACAACGCCTCAGTTATCTGGGGTATAAGGACTAATGCCTCTATATTATCACAATGGGTATTCAACAATTACTACAAGGCTATAAAGGACAATGACATTTGTGTCAAATGGTTATCGGGATATAAAAACATCGAAGGAAACGAGGCGGCTGATCACCTTACTAACCTTAATATCAAGAAACCTAGTTGGGACACT